CTTAGCTTTCTAGTGCCTCTTCTTGTACTGCCACTGGCTGGCACAAGAGCAATAAGTGACAGGGGAACCTTGACTCATTGGCATTGTTTATTTTTATTTATTCATTTAGGGAAGATATATGCCACCACTTCAGACGCCTGGTCTGAGCTGAGTGGCCTTGTGGCAGTGCTTGCACTGCAGGGGATAGGCTCAACCTATTCCTGCACTGGGCCTCTACCCCGTGCTGGGCTTCTCCAAGTTGCTCACGTAAACATGACAGCTCTTTGGATCTCGGCTGTCATTTGAGAAACAGGGGGGAAATGGACAAGTGGTTAAGTCTTGCCGGATGGAGATACTCACACCATAGTTGTGGAAAATCCATAACAGGCAACACAGCATCGATAAACGTGGACTTTCCCATGCTTTCTAAAAGGCTTGCTATACTGCATGCATTTCAAATAGTAGGAAACAGTGTTTCCATGTGGAACTTGGTGCCCTAATCTCTGCTGTTTGCCAATACAAATGAGATTACATGTAAGAGGTGCTCCGTTTTAATTGAATGTCTTCTGTATGCAATTCTGAGAAAAGATGAAGGGAAACAAATGAGTCCGGCAAGACAGCTCTGAGCCTGCAATACCCAATACCTCATTATTTCTGAAAACTGTTATATATAAACTGATACTGACAAGCCTTGAACCTTTCCTTTCTGCTCAAGACCCACCGAATGTCTTTATATGAGGAATAAAAGGACAGGCAATGATGCTACTTTAATCATGGGCCCCTTCACTGTAATCAAAGCAAACCTACAACTCATTCTTTTTTTTAAAGTTGCTGTTATCCAGAAGATTCAACAACATCAAAGTTCAAAATTTACATCCCACTGGGAAATGCTCTCAGGTAAGCATAAAAAAGACCTGCAGCATTACAGTCTTATTCTAACCTTTTATTTTTTTACCAGAAAAGTCTCAAGGCCGCGTTAGGTTTATTTGTTTAATGACTCCAAAAGAATGACAACACATTTTTGCCAGCAAGAGAGCTCTCTTAAGTGGCCCTGTGTGAAGACCCAGAAAGGATGTTTGTACTTCCAAGCAGTTCTCACGCCTCTTACAAATGTGCTGCTGAGGAAAATGGACATGGAAAACAAATATATCCCAGTCCTGATCACTTGCTGCACTAGAGAACTATGTCAGCACTGCTGCTGCTCAAGAGGCAACCTAGGTGTGGCAGGAAGGCCAGCATCGTGTTGCTGTGACCACTTAACATGATAAATCCTTTTGCCACATGAGGCATTGCCGTAGTGCAGGGGATGTTGGAGGCTGCTCTGAAGACTGAGTTCTTTCACGTAGGCCTTTCAAGATTAAACTTTATCATCTCCCAGTTAAACCTCAGCTGCAAGTAATTAAACATATAATAGAAAGCACATTTCAAATCAGCATTTTTTTAAATGAAAAGGTTATAGGAACAGTCAGGAAGAGCTTTACATACTCATAAGAACATAAGAGAACATAAGAACATACTCATAAGAACATAAGATGGGCTAATGGCCCATCCAGTCCAACACTCTGTCATACAGTGGCCAAAAATACCAGATGCCATCAGGAGGCCCACCAGTGGGGCCAGGACACTAGAAGCCCTCCCACTGTTGCCCCCCCCAAGTACCAAGAATACAGAGCATCACTTGCCCCGGACCGAGAGTTCCTATCTATACCTTGTTGCTAATAGTCACTGATGGACCCCTGTAGCACCTCTCTGAGACTGAGGAACATGACCATGTGAACTATGTTTTCTCACAGAACAACTCCCACTCACCATAGGAAGCTGGACAGCTGACATGGACGTCCTCCTTGGGAAGGCCAACACATCATTCACATTTTCATAGCTGATAAGAGGCACTGAAGGAGTACACCTGAATCTTTCAACTGAATCCTTACAGCCAGGATGAGCCCAACCTATCTAAATTGTTACAGGCCGATTTCGCACTAGAGTTGCCTCGCGGTGCAACCGCCGTTTGCCCCGACACAAACATGTTAATTTCACACCCAAGGCTGCGGGGCTGCATTTTGCCTCGAGGCTTCACCCGATTTCCTCTGCAGTTTCGTGATCCTGGTTTTTGAGGATCACGAAACTGTGAAGGAAATCGGGCGAAGCCACGGGTCAAATGCAGCCCCGCAGCCTCAGGTGTGAAATTAACATGTTTGTGTTGGGGCAAATGGGGCTGCGCCGCGAGGCAGCTCTAGTGCAAAATCACCCACAGTCTCCTTCAGATTGTATTGCTGTCTAATCAGTCAAGAACCAAACTACATTCAGAATTATCACTTAGTACCTCTTCAGACTAGAGGCACATCACTTTTTTAAGGTGCCCCCATGTCAAGAACCCATGAAAAAGTAGCTGGAATGCATGGATTATACTAGCTGAGCCTTCCCTGAAGCATTAATTTGTTACGTGCAGGGAATCTTTAAAGTGAATTCTGGTGAAGGCTGTAGGATGTAGTATTTCTAAATGTATAGCTTGGTTGATTGACTAAGTTGGCTTTTGTTAACCAGCAAAACATCTATCTACGCTACCAGGGGTCAACCAGGTGCTACCAGGCTATTCCTGATCAGTGACATCTTGTAACAACATCTTCCATGCAATACGCTTCAGTCTTCTGGGCCTCGTCATGAAGAGCAGGTCTCTTCTTAAACATCAACCTGACTCTAATAAATCAAGTTTTATGACCAGATCAATGCTAAGTCTGACCTCCCTGAGAACTGCCAAGAGCTCCAGCACCGAAGACCCTGGGAACATCTCAGAGTGAGCCCTGAAACCTATTAGCACAGAGTTTAAATCAGATGATCTGCGCTGAGTTTGTACCAGAAGGAGACAAGATAACTAAAAATGAGTTGATGCCATTTGAAGGTGAAAAGTAGGCCTAGATTCTAGATTACATTGCCAAGGCTTTCCCTGTGAAAAGAATTCAAGTGATAAGCTAGTGACACCTCAAAAGAAAAAAAAAAGTCTAACTGTTAAGTTCTGGACCATTTACTAGTAACTCACAAGAGATATGCGGAGATCGAAATAAAATTCATTACAGTAATCCGACTGTGAAGTACTGATAGCATGAAATCAGGATCTCAGTACCGGCTTCAGAAATAATATGCAGCTAAGCAGTGTTTCATTTAAGAACCTGGAAGTGGCAGCATTTATTGTAGGATCCAGAAGTCAAAGCAAAGTGGTTAATGTGAGAAAGAGCACCAAGTATCTGACCACACTGCGAAAGCTTTCAGTTTATCCTCCTCACTGACAAAA